AAAGATGTTTTGAAGGACTTGCAAGAGTGGAGAAACAGAGGTAAGTGACATCAAGGAACATTTTAGTTGAGTAATTTTTTTAAAGTTCTCTTTGGTTAATAATTAACACTTAGCAGACTGTGTTTGACAAAATTTTGGGAGTTGTTAGGGGAGGGCACACAAATTGTTTGCCTCAGCCTTTGGCTTTTGGAGATAATTTATGAACTCCAATATTTTTCAATAACAGTGTTTTTATAACTATTTTTGTCATTTTGATCCTCAAGTGTTTTTAAATCTATATATTTTTTTTAAAAATTACCTTCCGTTCTGAAAGTCTAGCAAAGAAGTTAGCCCTTTTCATAAGTCAGAATAGCCCTGATACAGCTACAAATCAAAAGAATACCATTTAATAGCCTTCTATTTGATGACATTTAACCATGGAATGTTATTGATACATTTGTGACTAAACCCAGACCCCCACTCAACCTTAACCTTTTAACTCCCAGATCAAATTTGTATTTCTCCTTTCTGTTGACCATACAATTCTTATCATGTTAGCTCAGAGAATTTAGTATTGAATCAGCCAATTATCCCCAAATTGAAATTTTTCTTAATTCTCATCATTTATCTGGCTGATATTGTATTGATAATGTAAGGAGAAATTCTGTCTTGGTCACTCATGGGAGTTAAAGGTTTAAGCAAATTCCATAATTAGGAGTGCACTTTAGACTGTTATATGTTTTCAATTGGTTAACCCTTTACACTCTTATATCAGTCTCCATATTCCCCATAATATCCATTGTGCATTTCCTTTGGCACTGACAGCAAGAATTCATGTAACATTCAAAGCTTCTCAGGATGGTGATCATTTCCTTTATTCTCATGATTGTTATGAATGTTTCAGCATTATTATTACTAAATGGAGAAATTAGATGCTGGTCAATCTTAGGGTTACTAGGGTTAACCACTAGACAATGATATTTAGTAAATAATCCCTTTCATGCAGATGGTATGTCTCCTGAGGCTGAGATATTGTCCAAGAAGTTAATATTTGGCTGAGAAGTAAAGCTTTTGGGGCAAATGTGAAATCTGACTGATCAATACCAGCAAGCCAGAAGGGGGTTTATTTATTTTATAACCCTCCTATTCATTTTTGTAATTTGCAGTATTTGAGATCAGCTTTTTAATGTCACTATCACTAGACTAATAGGGGGTTATAACAAGTACTATTAGACTTACTATCAAAACTCTGATTGGTTGAGAGCACCCAGTCAATGTGCAATAGCATTTGAAGTTGACATGATAACCCAAAATCTGCAGCAGATATTGGGTTATCATGTTGAGTTCAAAGTCTGCCTAGTTTCCCAACCTCTAGTCAGTGTAGAACTGTTTGTAACCTTTTGTAAACTCACAGAAAAGTGTGTTCTTTCGTAGATTGTCAAAAAAATGTATCATAGTAAAACAATTTTTGAATTCAGTTTTTGCATGATGTTATGAATTTTCAACCTCCTTTCTGTTTTATCTGCCTCAGCTTTTGGTTTTGGTAGATAACTCCAACCATGGCATTGATAATTCATGATATCATGCTCAACCTCTTCCAATAATTGCTAATATTCATGAGATGGTAACACCTTATTTATCATTTCAAATACATTATAGGAACAAACATGTGCTTTGGACAACCTGTTAATGATGATGTGCTGAAACTCGTACAAGAGGAAATGGCAACATTGGTTATATCTGTTGAAAAAAATAAGGAAACTTGGGTGCAGGATCACGAGGGACTAAGAAAGAATCTGCAATGTTTGACACAACTTTTTGAACTTGACATCAAGCGACTTGAAGCTAGCCATGTGGCCTTAGAAAGTGGCCTCAGTGTCCTTAAAAAGGATCAGTTGAGGATGAAAGAAACTCTAGTGGAAAATGAAATGATAGCATCATCAAATGCATCTCTCATACAGCATGTTAAAGATAGTTACGAAGAGAGGCACAAAGGTCTTCAATGTCAACAAGAGGTTTTGGAAGGGAAAGTTGCTGGTTTGTCTCAAGGAATGGAAAAGTTGACTTCAGAAGGAAACAATTGGCTCATAAGTGGTAAATTTATGATTGAAAATTAGTCAATGTCATTGATAATTTTTGAAATTGTTTTAGTGTAGAAGAAGAACAAGTTTTTAAACATCCCTTTGACCTGGAGGGGTCATTGTGTTGTGTTTTTGGTCAAGACTCTTTCCACCCAGAAGTTTAAATGGGTCCTGGGGCACTGTCAGGGAAGCCTGATGAAATTCTGGGGGGGTAACCTTGCAATGGCTGGTATTCATCCAAAGGGGAGTAGTAAATTACTCTTTGTTGCTTCATGCTACTGAAACTACGATAAAGGTCTGGTTGGATGGGCAACATGGCTTGAGTGTAGACTTCACCTTTCAGTTATGTATTTGGCTATTGAGTAATGCTATGTACTGTAGGTAATTTGGATGATCATAACGTTCTGTAAATAACAATACATGCTTCTGAAAAAATGCCAGTATTGTCATGTAATATGGTACTGTTAGAAGTGTAAGTACATGTATGTTACTATTGTAACTTATATGTGGTATTCAGTGCAAAAATAAATCTTCAGATCTTGTTGATTCACTTTTTGCTATTTCAGGACTCCATTGGAAAATCCCTGTAACATTAGTGCTGAGTATTGTCATCATTCTCCTGTATGAGTATTATACTCCAGGATCTAAGCTTCGTTATTGGCTTTGTAGAAGGGAAAGCATCCAAGGCCACACTTTGTCTTTCGTTTTCAAGACAAATGATCACCAGGTAAACTAAGTGTTCAGGATAAGATAATTCCTCCTCTGTTCTTAAAACTCAGCCAGCTCTTGTGTTTGGGTTTCACCCTACAAACCTTTTCCCAGGCCCACTCAGTCAGGGTAAAAGTTACTGAAACTCTTATGGTTGACTGTAAGAGTAAACTAAGGGAGAGAAACTGATTGGAAATTTTGTAGAAGATTCCACAAATAACTTATTTACTCAATAAGAACAACAGGTATTATCCTGTAACTGACTTCTTCAAAATACTAAGGTCTGATTAACCTAATTAAATTGAATTCTTTGTCAATAGACAATGATGTGAAATTCAAAGATGAAGTTAAAATGCTATTGTTTTTCTGAAGCCTTTAGCTTGCAAACAGAGATTACTGTTATCAACTGATTAAATCAGCCAATGAAATAAATATGAATGGATTGTTATGCGGTCAGACTTTACATTCTGTTGATTCAGAACAGTTTCGTTACACGACGTTTTATTTATTAAGAGGAGCTCGTTTACATAACTATTACTCTTATTGTTACATCTTAACAGACACCGTCAGTGAATGGAATTGAGTTCAGCTGGGAGGCTTTAAGAAAGAAATTGAACCTTAAGATCCGTCCTCATGATGAGCCAGGTATTTATTTTTATTAACTTCGCAGCCAACAGCATGCTAACAACCTCAGTGATTTTCAATTACGTTTTTGGCAACCTTGGAACAGTTTTCGAGTAAGCATCGAAAGTAATACGGGATTCGGATACTTTCTCAGTAAGTTGTCTTGAAAACTCGCGTCACTTTCTTAACCAATCAGATTTAAAACTAAATCACGACTTGGTCACCCGTGTTTTCCCGCGCTTCAGGAAGTGTAGTTATTTTTACCTTGAGTTCTCATTGGCTCCTTGGGATTTTTCCTTTGTTGTGATTGGCCTTTTTAAATACTTTGGTTCTGGTTTTACGGCGCTCAATCGAAAAGCGCACTAATCAAAGAATTCACAACGTCCAATCAGAACAGGGAAAAATATTGCGAAGAGCCGATAAGAATCGGAGTTAAGATAAGTAAAAGGACTCAAACGTGGGAAAAAGTCCACTCAGTTGATTTCCATCTTTCTGATCGATAGAGACGAAGGTGCAAGATTTCTAGAATAATCGCAGCACGTATTTAAACTAAACCTTTGGAAGCTCATATTACATTTGACATTCGAACAAAAATTACTCCAGAAAACAACAGCATGAAATAGATAAAGCCTCTTTTCAAAGGGCTGAATTGCACGAAAACGAATTTACTTTGTATGAAGAAAATAAAAAATGAAATAAAACAGCAGGAATAAAGTGCTCCCAGATGCATGATTTCGTTGAATTATTCTATTGACAAATATGTTACATCACATCTAATGAAAGGTTTGTAGTCCCATTATTCAAGCGGGATTATTACCTTACCCTGAGTCAGTTGGTCTGCAGAGTATATGAAAGCTCGGAGAAATCAAATGCGTTTCGTCAACGATTATAAGTCCAAAATTAAACACACGCACGCCATTTTGTGTAGACTGACCGACCAGAACCCCTTCTCAAAAATATCGTTGTGAAAGATTATTTCATATTTCACGTTTTCTTTATTAAAGGGGTGCATTACTACCTCAACATCGATCGCTGTGCATACGGAGGTGTCGTACTTGTGCGCTCACTCCTGGACAAGACTCCTCAAGTGCGGGGGGCAGAGGTTTTAGCCGTGAACTCTGATTGTTCTCGAGTCTTTTACCATGATGACGGCGTCTGGAGTCTTTACCAAAGTGCAAGAAATATCCGTTGCATGCCTGCAAATGGATGATGCAGTTCATTTGTTTCAGCAGTACCCGTTGTCCTAAGGCG